GTGAAAATATACTTTATTCTAAATTAGCGACATCTTGAATTAGCGAAATTACAGGTTAGCTAAATTAGCTAAAATGACATGCTAGCTGAAAATACGTGATTTACAGTAGTAAAGAAAATGGCTGCAATTGAGACAACTTGAATACTTAGTCTAGTAAACTAACGTGGCCGGCCAGCGACCCAATATGTAGTGTCACCATATCATACCTGGTTGCGGGGGACACATTCAAATATTTAGGTTCAGGCATATACATTAAGGCGGTCATACAGTATTTTGTTCGATTAAAAAAAAAGAATTGACATGTAAATGGATGACAAAATGTATTGGCTTTGTATAAGTAGTTGGCCGCTGTATTTCCGAGAAATAGCTCCAGACGACCTGTTTTTTGCTTCGTCCCGAACGGGGACAAACTAGACAGTGTACGATTCCCCCACTCCCAACATTCAAACATTATTCCCAGATTAGCCAATTTTAAACTGGAAACAATAACACTGGTGGAAAAAAACGACGACAGTTAATAATTTTTAACCGGTATCATTTCCGATATATTTTTTTCAATGTCGTCATGTTCATAAAAATATTTCTGCTAAATAAACTTGTATGGACTGTGTTTCATAGTAACATATTTCCATGGCGAGTTCTCCATCAATATTAGTGAAATATACGTCTGTTATCACGTGATTGGGTGTGTTCGATGTCATTCTCAACAATCAGAGTATCTCATTTCTAATTTATGCTCGTTGTGAAACATTTTTTATGATTGTTTCAAGAACCGACCTTTTTTTGAATGTCACAACGTTAATTTAACCTTGGAACCATTACTTCATCTACCAACATAATTTACATTTACTTTTTACTGTGATTAAACCAACGAAAATTCGTTAAGTCTGTTGATATTCAGAAAAAGTCTTTTTAATCGACATAGGCATTTGGGGGGAAACATTAGCTGAAAATTTAGCAAAAGTATAACATTCAATTCAGCAACGAGTTGCAGATTGCTGCAAACGTTTTTTTTTACAGTGAGATAAATCCTACATACTTGCATGTACCAATGAGATTTAATTAATATCAGCCAAAATGAAAAATATTTTTTCCGAACATCGACAGATTTCCCGAAATTGGTTTGGAACGGCGTACTCCGCACCCGCCACGGTTATTTTACAATGTGAAATATTCTAAATGTCAAAAGTAATAACAATAACGGTACACGTGCCCTCAGGCTCACTGTAAGTTAATTATTCCCATGGCGATAATATTACGTAGTCTTGTAGACAACTCAATCATTTCTCTGTTGTTTGTCATGTGATTGATATCTTTACTCGGGGAGTGAAACGCGGTGCCTGTGATGCATCAATTATCGCATAGGTGTGAATATCTAGAAAATGATAAGGTAACACGTAATTTATGAACTCCGGAAGATAGTGATTGTATAAACCATACCAGACACGCCTTAACTTCAATATAATTACCGAATGCTTTAATTGCCGATAGCCACATTGATGTGATTCATGTAGTTCTTATCAGAAAACCGAATTTATTATTTATCTAATTTAATTCAATATCTAATTCAATTATCAGTCATTGCGTGAATCTTGTGTGATGTTTGGTAACCTGTAATGGTGTGGCCTTGACTGTTTTGTTATTGTCAACGAAGCGGTGGATTTTAACTCAATTATTTGTCAGACGTACGCGTGCAAGATGACGTCATCGGATTGAAATTATACATCCGGCAGGAACGTAAAAGATGATGTCACCATATTCAAATTATTTGTCTGACATGAGCGTAGCAGATGACGTCACTGCTACAGCAATCACATACTCTCGGTTCATGACATATATATACACACCATACAATGAAACGTTCGAATCGTGGTTACATAGTCGGCAATCCTCACAAAAAACATCAAAGTGGCTATTAGTACAGTATTATACACGGGATATCACACACCTCACTTCACCTGATATATAATGTATGCACGGAAATGTCATAGTATTTACAACTGATATTCTTAAAAAAACGTCACTGACCAACGTCATATTCAGCGAAGCGTAAATAACAGAGGTCGGTGCACATCCATCTCCATGGCGACGATTCGAACTATCTTTTACAACCGCGCAGGTGTGACCATGGTGACGAGCAATGTCCGAGTCAGTTACAACACGATTGTTAAATTTTGAGTAACCGTGGTTAGAAACATGAAATTGCGCGGAGCTAGATGCTCGATCGAGACGAGCACAATTCACTCCTACAGAGAATAAAGTTTTGAAAACCGTGTTAACTTTCCATTATCTGTGTTTTACCGACGATTTGATGATGAATTTGAGAACAACTCGACATGAGAGAAGCAACAAGATCCCAATCACTGCAACAAGTACGACGGCTTTGATGAGCGCGAACGAATATGACGGTGAAATGTCCCGATCACTCACGCTGATATCCGTTGAATTCATCCGAGTTTCATTCAAACCTGTCAGGTTAGATAATATATCATTTGTGTAGTTGTTTGTCAACATGCCGAGTGTCGGCGTCGACGACGATCCCACATTCACCGTGTAAGCATTGTACGGCATTGTCGTGATGTTCACAGGAGCCATGGGTGATTATCAGAAGGATAAAATGAATTGAATCAAAGCAATTCCCGAGTCCCATTTATTTCTGACTTGATGTTAACAGCTTGTTCATGTTGACTTCGTGCTTCACCGCGTTTTCAATCCTGTTGGAACACTCTTGTATAGCTGAAAACACCGTGACATATTGATTAGTTCGTACACATACATATATACACCAATCATTAATTTGTTTGACGGTACTGACTTACCTTCCATATGCACATCAGACAGACTATTTGCGAACATATTGTGTATTAATACGGCTGATATAATTATAAATCATGCAATTATTGTTATAAATCTTATGATAACATTTTAAATGTACGAGAATTATTAAAATCAATGTTTGTTCGGAGTTTATGTCGATGGCAATACACAAACGAGCTCTACTATCACACTCACCTGCAACGTCTCGAGCGCACGCAGTGAATGGTTGTAAAGATAGAACGCATCTACAGCAAACAATACGTGAGCGTATCGGTGAAATGGGCGTGTGGGGGCGTTTGTGAATCGTAGTAGACAGAATACGAATACAAATGTATATTGACAGTGTGTTACGTATTTGATGCAGTGGAAAATAACACAGCCAATCTGTTTTCGGTGTCACGTATACAACGCGTTGCAGATATTGTGCAAATATTGTCAACTCTTGACGCCAATGGACGATGGCGTGATGTTTCTCATATGCAAGTCAGAGACATCGCCTGGGTACTGTAATACCGAGAATAACATCACATCTAGTCTATACCAAATCTTTGAACCGTCAATATGTCATTAAACCACGCCGGGGGTCAACATATATCCTCCTACAACGCTTACTGTCCAATAAGTTTATTGCAAGAAGGAAATGCGCTGATGTACGTCACTGATTTTCATGTTGCATGCATGCCTGTTATCATGAAGCACAACAAATCACTTGTATTACTTATTTGCAGGAGTCTGTGACACCAAAGCCATGCATGGGGGATTTGACGGATATGAAATCACGAATGAATATACTTCCGTGTTCGTATTCTGTCCGGACAGTAACCAAGGCCGTAATATACTGTCGGGAGTGCCGATTGTCGTCAGTGATTGGTCACGTGACCGCTGTTGCCGGATAGAATGTTCAGTGGCGGATCCAGAGGGGGGGGGG